TTGTGATATGGTCTGATCATCTTCCTTGTCCCCTCTTTGACTGGTCTTCATTCGTTTATCAAATATTTACTGAACTCCGTCACAGTGCCCAGCATTGCCCTTGAGGCAAAGTGTAGATAAGTTTCAGATGTCATTCAGAGGAAGGCAAGACATGCACGCACGTTTAATAGTAAACAAGGCAGTAAAGCCGGAAAAAATACTTGGTGACATGCAATGTTTTGTGATGTTCGACTGCTTAACGCCTCTAACTTGACACTAGCGCTTCCGTGGCTGTTCTTCCCTGGGCTGTGAAACTGAGGGCGCCCGCGGAGCGAACGCTTCTCCCGATCTCAGGCAACGCAAACCCAGTCCTGTCAAAGAGCGAATCTAAATTGACCCACCGAGCCACCGTAGGGACGGTCTGCGGCCCAGGGCGCGCAGGTATTTCACCCGTGGATTCGTTAGGCGGGGGAGGACCCGTGTCATGTGACCCAGTAGCAGCTTCCCGATTGGCTTTGCCCCTCAGGCCTCCTTCCCCCTACGTTGAGTGGGACGGAACGCTGAGAAGGTTGGGCGCATGCGCAGTGCCCGGATTTCGCTGGCCTCCCGGAGTGGAGCGGTGGGGTTGGGCGGTAAACAGGCTGTGGCGAGGGATGAGGGGGGCTCGCTCCCCAGGGGCTTTTCACGCCCCCTTATTCCTTTAGATGTGGTTTGGTCCGGACGCGGGGGCCCGGCAGCCGCTCGAGCCTACTCCCTTGTGAGAGGGGACAGCGGCTCCAGCGGAAAGCGGTTAAAGTTACGGAGAGGCTGCGAGACGCGTGTCGTCCCCTATGCCAGCCGAATGGTGTGGCTCTGAGCTGGTCCAGGAGCCGGCCCGACGTGTCTGAGCGAGGCCCCGGAGGGGGTGGGGAGGTGGCCTGCGGAACGCGGGTTCTGTGAAGAGACGTGGGGAAGATTCGACTCTGAGAAGAGGAAGAGCCCGATTGAAAGGGAGCGAGGCCGCTGAGGGGGAGGGGGCTGCCAAGATGGCGTCGGCCTCCTCTGGGCCGTCGGCGGTCGGCTTTTCGTCCGCGGATTCCGGGGTGCCTGCCTGCCCCTTGTCCTCAGGTAATCAGGGCGGGGCGTGAGCGGGGGGCGACGATGGCTGTGCGGTGGTGGGGAGAACAAGACCTGAGAGGAGGGGGCACCTGTAGCTGGGGATGTCCGAGGAGTTGCCGGCGAGGAGGGTAGATGGCTGGCTTTCAAGCAGCAGGGCTTTCTGCGCGGGCAGGGGAGTCTGAGGAAAGGATGAATTTGACTGAGAAAGGGAAGGTGGCCAGTGTTTGTCGGAAACACTGGCGGTCTTCGAGGAGACCGAGTTGAGGACTTCGAAGGAGTGAGGTCAGGAAGCGGTGGAGGTTGACGGTGATGGTAGGAAGGAAACGGCAGGGAAACCGAAGGGAGTCGAGAAAAGTAAAGTGGAGGTCTTATATGTAGAGAGGCAGGTAGAATCCACGTTGGTTGTGGGGTTAATTGGATAAAAATGTGGAGGAGAAGCCATGGGACTTAAAAGGTATTGAAGAATGATGGACGCTTTCGATTGCTGGCGAGTTGAGCAAATTATGAATTTTGTCGGAGGTGGGAGTTGATGGAGACGTCTTTTTCATCGGAGACTCCCCGCCTAATGCGTCACTTCTTCTCACTTCGTGACCCCCGGCCCCCCCCCCACACACACAGGCGCGCGTTCGCACTGACACGTTTTGTCAAACATCTTCTCTTGATGATTCCTATCTCTAGACTGACCAGCTTTGGGAAGGAATGGGACATTTTGAAGGGAGCCTGAGGAATGTGGAAAATTTGAGTTTAGAGACCCTAAAACGGAGAAGGTAGAATGATGGAGTCTTGAGTTGCTGTAGAGGCTGAGAGAGGTGATGCTGGGAATTAGGTCTGCGAGGATGGAGTCGGGGGCGGCTCCAAGTGCTGTGGGGTAGTGTGTTGCATAATAGGAAATGGACTGGAAGAACGCTTAGGCTGTGTCAGGAAACCGACACTTGGAGAATGGAGCTGGGGACTATGGCTCAAGGTAGTTGGAAACTATTGGAGATTGAGGGAGGGCTCAGGAGCCCACAAGAACAGCAACAGATTGTGTGTAGGAGGGAAAATGTGTGGTGCTGGGATGTGATGTGTGTGTTGGGGCGAGGAGGGGGAGGTTGAGTCAGAAACTGTTCTAGAGCTTCCATCAGAAATGTCTGGTGTTTCCCAGTGACTGTTGCCTCTATACTGTGAACAGGAGAGACTACCAGATCAGCTGGGTGCTTTGCTTGAGATGTTGACATCTTCTTAGGCCTGGGATTGTATCCTTGCCATTTTGAATTGGCTAAATAGAGGGTTCCACCTTTCATATTCCAGCTCAGATGAACTAATATGTGGTCACAAGTATCTTCTTCATAAACCTCAGTTTTATTTATGTACATCTATTTTTAGTTTCTCTAAAGGTGATTTTTGCCTTTTCCGTAAAAGCATTAGAGGGTCAGAACAACTCATGGTGCATTCTAAGTGTGAAGAAGGTAAAGTACAAATGACAGTTTTTTTGTGAAGTATCTCCTTAAAACCTTTCCCCTCTCCTCCAGTGCAAGAAAGAGGAATGGTCGTGTGTATTCCTTAAACTTAACTGTCAAGTCAGGTATTTTTCTCTCCTAGATCTTAAAAGCCATGTGTTTATAGCCCAAGATTTGACTCATATCTCGTGAAAGTATTGGCCAGGTGGACAGATTTAGGAATAAAATCTAATACACTTACTGATGCATCTTCCTCCTCTTCCATCTCTCTTCCTACTTCAGATAGTCCTATCTTTTTGAGATGTCACTATTTGATGTTTTTGTATGTTTTTACATTTTCCGCCAGAACCCAGGGCTAGCAGTTAATAATTCAAATTGTATAATGTTTTTTCTTCTTGTGTTTTCACCAGAAAGTCACATATTATGTTTCAGTGGACTTTATATCTCCTTGACTCTGCTATGTTCATACCTTAGGTCAAGGTGTAAAGATATCTAAAAATAAATAGCTTTAGATTCCTTTTTTGTACTTTTGTTTCTTACACCTTCTCTGCTTCTTTGGCAAATATTGAAACAGTTGGATTAAGAAATTAAGAGAAATTGGGAGCATTTGAGACCTTGTTCCCTGGCATATGTCATCAGTTTGGCTCCAATAAACTTATAAAAATCCTCAAAAAATAAGAAAAATTCTGTTCATAAATATTTTTGAAAACATTATGGAATTATTGTGTGCAAATACACATTGTTGACTTTTCTGTGTATCCGAGTGTTCAGTTAGGTTTGGGCTTAGTTAATATAATGTTTTCAAGGATATGTTTTTGAAGAGTAGAGGATATTTGATTCTCATGCAAAAAAGGCTGTTGAGGATGGGTTTTATTTAGTGCTCTGTCTGGATGGTACCTGGGGAATTAGGACATTGGCAGGAGTTAAGAGATGGTTTATGATTTCCTAAATTGTTAAAGGTGGAAGGCTAGCTTTGTAGAAATTCAAGGTTGGGTTGTTTGTCTGTCTGTCTTTTAACCATCCTAAAACCAATTTATTGTTCTTAGATGTTTAGCTAAACTCACTTAAATTTTGATGAAACTGTGAAATCCTAAAAGCAGCGTTCTCTGGCAGTGTTGAAAATGGATACAAAATAAGAAAGTCAGGACTCAGGGCAGATTGATGTTTTAAAGACACTTATAACCTTTGGAGGCTCCAAATCTTTTGGTATTCAAGTTAGGAAAGACAGGGTATTTAGAACAGTTGTTTCCTGCCAGTGTTAAACCCTTGTCTAGATTATTTCACCGTTAAGCCAGAGCTGGTCTTTTATGCTGCTGACAAGTGAAATACAGAGGTAGAGCAAACCATACACTCTGAGAGATGTTTGACATCTTTTCCCCTTGGAGTAATTACCGTGTTTGGATTTGGGGGAGGCAGTTATAAATGAATATCAGCTTACAGCAGCCATCATCATGTGCTTGTTCTTACTCTTTGGTTGTTAATAAAAGGTGATGCAGTTTGCTCTCTAGTCTCAGCTGTTCGGTGGGTAAAGGAAATTTATTCCTTCTCTTTGTTTTCCATCTTCATTATTTGGACAGTGGCACCACCACTTAAAAAATAAAATCAGCCCTGACAAAGTGCTGTTGACAGTGTGACCATCTGTCACACTAATGTACAGAGAGCCTGTTTCTCTATTTGTGGTTTGATTAGTCCATCAGGAGCTTGAAATTCAGCCTCTGAGTCCTTTTTTTACCACCATGAAGGCAGTAAAAAGTTTCTGTTTTGGAGCCTTGATTTGAGGTTAGTGGAGGAGTTAGAAAGCAAAGTTAGAATGCTAAGGTGTATACTGCTACTCTGAAATAAGAGCTGTGTGATAAAATCACAGGTGACCCCTCCCTCCAAGAAAAAGAGCTTGAAATCTTAGAAGATCATGGACCTTATAGTTCCTTTTGCTTCAAACCAGAACCTTTCTGAAATTATCGTCCTTCACCTATATGATTTTATCAGGAGCACAGTGGAACTTTACAGCTCTTTTCCTGACTTTTTGTCCCTTAACTACTGAAGGAAACCCTAGAGGACACAAGATTGAAGCATTTTTGCTTGTGACCTTTATAGTAGGGCATCCTCGTCAGTCCTTGATTCTGGTGGTTTTGTTCTTTCCAGCAGAACCCCACCACTAAATTGTGCTGTAATTTCATAACCCCAAATGGTAGGGATTTTGTCGAGAGTTTTTGTCTGTGTTCTTTGTACACAGCGTAAGCCATTTGTAGGCTGATCTTTGTCTCTTAAGTTCTTCCATACTAGTGAAAAGTAATGTACTTTAAGCCACTTTACTGGGTGAGAAACTGAAATTTGGAAATGTAAAGATAGAATGTTTTGTAGTCAGAACATCACTAGGTACTATTTTGGTTGATATTTTATAAGGCAGGGAGAGATTTTTGTTTGCTTTTTTTTCCCAAGGGTTTTTTGACACCCCCCTCCCTTTTTTTCTTTTGTCTCCTCCATAGATTCTGCCAGAAAACTGACATCTGAATGTCATTGTTTTTTATTAACCATTTATTTCTGCCTTTGACTGTCAAAATACTGTTTGCTTGTTCATTTTCTGTGTGCTGTTCTGAGTTGATATAAAACTCCTGATTATAATAACTGCTCAAATATGTGCTAGCTACTAGCTATTACATATATTATCAGTCTGTTTTTCTTTGCTAATATAGTGGAAACTGTAGTGAAGTGAGCAACAGAGATAACACCAGGGCAAAGACAGAACTGGGGAGTGGAAGGTGATTATTTGATCCTTTAAACTGACTGTTTTCTTTCCTAGAATTTTGAGATATTCTTATTTGCCACAAAGAAAGCAATAAACCAAAGCTGTCCGTTTCTTCTTCTCTCTTTCTTGTTCTTACTGGGCATTATTTTCTTGATCAAGGATAAAAGTATACTTTAGGAAGTATGCTGTTTTCTAATAGTCTGGCAGAGAGGATCTCTGTTTCTTTGTGTTCCAAACCGCAGCCCACCATTCAGTCTCAGGGTGTTTGGACTGATGGTGTTTCCTGGAGGAAGCCCTTTCCGGACCGTTCCATTTCCCGCGTTGCACTTCACTTCTCCACCCTTTCCTAGCATATCTGTTATGAGCTCCTATTGTTTCTTTGACTATTTTTTTTCTTTAAAATGAACTTTTTTCCCCCTCAATCCCTCCATCTTTTGAAACTTTGTCTCCAGCCATTTTTCTTTCTCCTCTTGTGAAATTCCAGTCTGTTTGTTTGTATGTAATGGCTGTCTGTATTCAATAGGTATTATCGATAAACATCTGATTATCAAAAAGGCTCCTTATTGTTAGAGTCTGAGAAAAACTGGCAAAGAGAGAGAGGAGGGCAGATTCTTAGTAGAGTTCAGTGCCTTGTATACTTAATGGAGCAATGTGGAATTAACCCAGAGTAAGGACTGTCCCAAAGGATCAGTGATGTTGATGGGGAGTGGGCTAAGGAAAGGTAAGTAAGGGAAGTTGGGAGGAGAGAATGGGAAGAGGTTGTTTGTAGGATATACGTATGATTCAAGGAAGGTATATTAGCTTTCTTGGGCACGGTGTAGGTA